GGCTCCCACGGCCGTGTCTGGCCTGGTGGGGCTGCCACCTCCCCTCCCTGGTGAACCTGGGGCCGGCAGATCCCTGGGCAGCCAGCCTCCCTTTCCTGACCCAGAGGCCACTCAGGGACCCTCAGGAGGAGGCACAGCCTCCATAAGCCCCCCCTCCAGGACCCAGGACTCCCATGCAGCTCTTGACTTGAAGGAAGCACTTATAGGCCGACCCCTCCCTCTTAAAAAAAATGTTTGCACAAATTCTCCCCTTTACTGACCCTCCTGTTGGGCAGGAGGCCGGTTAGCAGACTGGGTTCTCTGCACCATTGGAAATCTGCATTCATTCTGGTGCCTCAGTCTGGTATCTGATTTCTGTCACCTCAGTGTCTCGGTTGGAATAGAGTCAGGACAAGCCCCATTTTAATGCCATGTTCATGTTTTCATTCTGCAAGAGCACTGCTATCTATTATTGCAGGCCACAGAATAAAACCCCTTCTCCTCACGAGCCCTCAGCATCCTACTGCGTGCCATCACATTTGATTCTGGGCAGAGGAAGCTGGAGGAGACCTTTGTCCCTTCATGGAGAAAGGGGTCCGAGAGAGGGTGGGTGCCCAGCTCGTGGTCTGGTTCTGCCTTTCTGGGCACAGCCCCTGGACCTTGTCACCTCTTGAGTGGTCTTGTCAGTGGGGAGTTATCGATTTGAACCGCCCTTCCTCTATTGTAAGGAAATTGCCAGAAATGTGAAAAAAGCTTTGGGTCAGCGTAGGTTTGTAGGAGGGGCTAGAGGACCTGCTGTTCCTGCGCAAGCTTGTGGGAGCCCGGTGTTTGGTCTGAGCCAGAGGGCAGGTCTCACGTGGGAAGGAGGCTTTCAGAGGTGACGGTGATGTTCGGTGACCGTTGGACGGGTGTATACATATCTTCAAACTCATCAAGATGTATACTTTAAGTATGTGCTTTCGGTATGTCAACCTTACCTTCATAATGAAAAAGGAACAGGAGCTCAGTGTGCCCCTGTCCGTGCCAGGGTAACGTAACCCCAAAGAGTGGAAGACACAGCAAATCTCCACACTCATCTATGCTTTGACAATCTTTCTTCTATTCTAAATCTTCCAAATTCCCAGGGTATTATTGTATTTGGAAAAATAGTGTTTATGGAATCAAACAGATGCTCCGTGTTTTCCCAGACCAGTGGCAGCTCCTGATTTGGGAGTTAATTGACGAGGCAACAGTCCTGCCTCAGGGGAGACCCTCCACCAACTTTTAATGAGCTCCCGATTAAGGGTAGCCCAGACACCTGTGTGGCAGTGGCCCCAAGGTGGTGCTGGAGCCCGAGGGCAGGTAACACGAGATGCCGGAGCAGGCCAGCAGGGGTCAGCGCACCGTGGGGCTGCCAAGGTGCCCCTTGTCCCTGGGGCATTGCTGACAAGGGAAACAGGCTGAGGCTTGTGGGAGCACTCCCTCCCCCTCCCAGGATGCCAGCCCGGGGGATTGAGTCCCTGCCACTGAGGCCAGGCCCTGAGTGACCACCCGCACGCAGCCCGGCCCTGGCCATGAGCCCAATTCCACAACCCTGGATGCACCCACAGGCCTCAAGGTCCCCGAGGTTGATGCCAGCAGAGTCCAGAGGTTAGGCTTTTGCTCAAAGCCATCCTGCTGTCACAGCTCCCTCCTGTCCTCACTGGCGGGGGCAGCAAACAGCCCCAGCTTGGCTCTTGCCAAGGCAACTATTTCCAGAATGCTTGGCAGGGGCAGGGAGTGGGGCAGCCTGCACTTTGCCTATCAACCTGTGGAAAACCCCCTGTTTACAGAGGGGGAAACTAAGGCACTGTTTACAGACGGAGAAAGCACAGAGCACCTGCTAAGAATACCCAGTGTGCCGCCAGAACCTGCCCTGGGGTGCTTGGGGTCACCGCTGCCCCCAGGTGCTCTCGCAGGGTGGGCACTCTGGAGACAAGCCTGGTGTGGGGCTGGCCCCTGGGGAAGATGCACTCGAGCTGTGCATGAGAAAGAGGTGCCAGGCGTAGGCTAAGGGCAAGAGGACCCGCTCAGGGGGCTGGTCACTGCCCAGGACCACCCTCATGCCAGTTGCATAGTTAACAAGAGGGTCCTTGCAGGCCTGAGCCGGAGGAAGGCTGGGTGAGGGCAGAAGTAACCTGAGTGTCGGAGGGTTGCCCGCTGGGCAGAGGGCTCACCCTCTGCTCTCCCCATTGGTGCGTGGGCAGGCGGGCGGGGGCTCTCCAAGGTGGTGGATCCTCCTTGCTGCCCCGTACCAGATGCATCTGCTGCCTGGATTGTGAGCCCGAGTGCCAGTGGCTGCATGTCAGCTGACGGCCAGCAGGGCTTGGTGGACTCACTGTCCCGGAAGAGAGGAGGTGGAGGGTACCGCATGGCCACAGTTCGAGGCAAGGATGGCAGCCGGAGGAGCAGGACAGCAACAGAGGTGCCTCCTTCCCACGGCAGGGGGGCTGGGGCAGCCTCCATGCCTGTGCCCTGGGGTCTGTGCAGGGCTTGCTGGTGCTGACCACTCCGAATGACCAGAGTCAGGGTCACCTGGGCAGGGCAGTCTTGCACACTTGGGGTCCCACAGTGGGCTGGGGGACTGCTTTCAGGTCTGGTGTTGATGGATGGCCAGGCTGTCTTCCTGGGCCAGCCAAAACCTGCCTCCTGGCCAGTGCCATGGACATGCTGGAGCTGCATAAGGGTTTCAGCAGGTCCCCAGCAGCTCATGGCCCTCACCCCTGTTCTCGCTACGTCTCCAGGAGTTAGGCAGTGGAAAGCAAGTGGCTCAGTCCAAAAGAGACCCTCACTGGCAGGTCAGAGGGTCAGATGGCCACAGGCAGTGCCCCCACCCAGGGACACAGTCCTGCCTGGAGGGTCCTTGGGGTCATCCCATGCTCACCCTCCTGGTCTCTGGACTGCTTCAGGGGGGCATCCTGGAATCTGCTCAGACCCCTTGGGTGAGTGACCCTAGCCATGCTATGTCCCCGTAAGCTGCCCTGGGCAAGTGGATTCTCCCGAGACAGGTTGATTCCTCCAACCCTGCCGTCCCTCACGAGGAGTCAGATCCCCTGGGGGGCCCCCAAGATGGACTCATGATGGGACCCCTGGCAAGATATATGGGATTCCGTGGGATCTGGGTGGCCCTCACCCTGCACAGCCGTGAGGGTCTGATGCTCCTCCACACATGGGGGAAGCAGGCCAGCCAACCTCAGCTCCAGGTACACGGCAAGAATGGGGAATTCGGGACTGGAGAACTGTGACAAACCTGGATAGGGCAGGACTTGCTGAGGCCTCTATTTAGTCTTTGTAACAGTCATCTTCAACAGTGAAAATGGTTTTCTAAATGAGGCTCGTCCTGGAGTCAAGGCTAAGAAAAACAGCTCCAGTTCCCCGGGTCAGGACCCAACACCCCAGGCAGGGTGCTAGGCTTGCAGGGGCCTGTGCTCATGAGCAGTGCAGTGGACTCAGGTCCTGGTGCAGCCTGGGCAGTGGTCTGTGTCCAGCTGAATTCTGGAGGTGCCAGCTGAAAAGAACTCTGGTCCCCAGGAAATGGAGTCATGGGGGCCCTGCTGAAAGGACTGCTTCTTCTAGGACATGGCCCACACCGGTCCCACTCCTAGAACCTGGGGACAGGCAGGGGACAGGCAGTGTCGGCCCTGCTGGGGGTTTGCTTTTGCCTGAGTGCTCACTGCATGGCACATGGCCACAGAAGGCAGGGGCTCACGGCCAGAGCAGGTGTGGCTACAGTGCGGCTTATTTGTTACTGACGGGCACTGTTAAGGATAGCTTTGCGCACTGTGGGTCTGGGGAGGGGACGCAGCCAAGGGACACCCAGCCCATCAGGAACCAGGGTGAGTGTTCCAGGGGCTGGTTCAGGTGGTGAGTGTGCACACACATGTGAGCCCAGTGCCCACGTATGTATGCTGTGTGTGCGACTCTGTGTGTGTGATGTGTGCACCTGGACGTGGCAGGGGGGAGGACGGGCGCAGGCAGAAAAGTGCACATGGCTGCTGTGGCTCCTGAGGGCAATCCTCCCGGAGCAGGTCCAGCATCTGGACACTGTCTGGGAGAAGCGTTGACCAGCCGGGCCCCTCCTGCCTCGCTGCCGGCTCTGGGCTCCACACGCATGAGGTCACTGCCGGCCTCCGTCCAGCTACCCCCGTGGACACACATCGGGGGCTTGTTGGCCCAGGGCAGCCAGCGGGCAGGGTCCAGCCTGGGGAGGTGCTGGGCACTAAGGAACCGAGCTCAGCTCGAATTAAACCCCCTCCTCACTGGTGCCACAGCCCCTCCCCTTCCCCGCAGACAGGCACCCTCCGGCACCCCCTCCTCTCCAGCAGGTCCCCCCCAACAGTGCGACCCCCAGCTTCCAGACAGGAGGGGGCGCTGGTGATAAAACTGTTTGCAATTTCACACTTCAAGGCCCCCCTGGCTGCCCAGTTTCCAGCTAACAAATAATCCAGGGTGACAGCCCCAGGCAAGGAGAGCAGGGCCGCCTATGGGCTTCCTCTGACAGTTGTGTTGGGGGTGTGGCGGGGGGGCGGGATTTACTAGGCACATAGGTAAGCATGTTTCACTAGGAATCAATGTGGTTTGCTGGATGAAAATGCTAAAAATTGGGCCATACATAATTTCATTTGTGAAAACTTGACAATTCTTCTTCTTTCCCAGTCTTCTTGAGTCTAGAGTAAGGACCACCCCTCAGGTGACTAGGAGTCTCGAATAAGGACCCCCTCCCTCAGGTGACAAGGAATCTAGAATGAGGACGTGCTCCCCCATGGCAGAGTCCAGAGTAAGTACCCCCCCCAGGTGACAAGGAGTCTAGAATGAGGAAGTGCCCCCCCATGGCAAAGAGTCTAGAATGAGGAGATGTTCCCCCTCCCCAGGTGGCAAGCAACTGATAACCTGGGTCCAGTCTCCTTCTGAGCGACTTCCCGAAGAGGGCAATGTCCATGGTCTACTCGCTGGCTCCCACAGGGCCGCTAGGCCTGGCTGGAGTCCTGGGAGAGAGACAAGGTGAGTAGAACCCAAAGAGGGGGGCCAGGGCCGTCCCCTCTGTTCCTGGGCCTCCAGTGGGCACTTGGGGTGGGAGGTCCCTCTTACTGGCCTGCAGTGGTCTGTGTCCCAACAGAGCCTCATGGCCTGGGGCGGCAGCCAGAACCTCTCCACGCAGGGGCTGTTCATCCTGCTGGGCTTCCCGGGGCCGCAGGGCCTGCACGTGGGGCTCTTCCTCCTCTTCCTGGTCATACACGTGCTTACGGTGGTCGGCAACCTGGCCACCATCGCCCTGGTCGGGGCGCACCGGCCCCTGCAGACGCCCATGTACTTCCTCCTCCGCAACCTCTCCTTCCTGGAGATCTGGTTCACCGCGGCCTGTGTGCCCAAGACCCTGGCCACGTTCGCCCCGCGCAGCGGGCCATCTCCTTCACCGGCTGCGCGCGCAGATGTCCTTCGTCGTCCCGCTGGGCTGCACCGAGTACTTCCTGCTGGCTGCCGTGCCTCGCGACCGCCGCCCGGCCATCTGCCCGCCACCGCGCTACGGCAGCCTCAGGACCCCCGGCCTCTCCGCCCGCCTCGCTCTGGGCTCCTGGCTGTGCGCCTTCTCCGCCGTCACCGTGCCGGCCACCCTCTCCGCCCGCCTCTCCTCCTGCGGCTCCCGCCTTATCAACCACTTCTGGGACATCGCGCCCTGCGTCGTGCTGTCCCGCAGCGACACGCGGGCCGTGGAGCTGGCGTCCTTCGGCGTCCTTCCTCGTCATCCTGGGCTCCTGCCTCATCCCGCTGGTCTCCGACGCCTACATCATCGGCACCGTCTTCAGGATTCGCTCCGCCGCCGGTCGGCACAGAGCCTTTTCCACCTGTTCCTCCCACCTCACGGTGGTCCTCATCTGGTATGGCTCCATCATCTTCCTGCTTGTGAGGACCTCAGTGGAGAGCTCGCTGGACCTGACCAAGGCCGTCACAGTGCTTAACACTGTTGTCACCCCGGTGCTGAATCCCTTCATATACACCCTGAGGAACAAGGACATCAAGGAGGCTCTGTGGAGGTGGGTGCAGGGGATGTGAGCCCCTCGGAGACCACCCAGCAAGACTGGGACATCTGACTGTCCCCTCTGTGGGAGCCAGTTCTCAGCATCATTCTCTCTGCATGGACTGAAAACAGCACCCTGATATCGCAGTGTGGTCTGCCTCGGGGAGTTTCCAAGTTTCCACCTGTCTCACAGGCCTTGCCTAGGGTGCTCAGCCCCTGGAGTTCCAAACCCAGATTCTGGAAGAGAAATGGGGTCCTAAGAAGCACTATATGTACTTCAGATACTGACTGCCCACCAAGTACTGGGCACTGGACTAGCCTGTGAGCCCCCAACCTGGTCTGGGTCTTGGGGGGCTGATAGCTGTCTTGCTAGTGAGGGGTGAGCTGTCTGCCCTTGGGATTTTCCCCCACTGCCAACACCTGTGGTCTCTTGAATCTTCCCTCATTGGTGGTGGGGGGAGGTTGACCATGAAGGAGAGAACTCAGAGAAATGTGTGTGCAGACCTTGCTGAGGAAGCCTGGCAGCCTTTGAGGGCCATGTGGAGTCAGTGTGTGGGTTTGCCTCTGAGCATGTCCACCAGGGCTCACCTCCTTCTGTGGTCTGCATTGTGGGATGTACAGGTGTCCTAGGGAACGGGGCTTGGTTCGGCCTCTGAGTGAATAAGTCGTGGGAGGTCCTCCAGGTCCAGAACTTCTGTGAGAGGCCTGGTCAGGCCCCACAGCCCATCAATGCATGGGCTCCAAGCCTCTGCCAGCATGGCTTGGGCAAGTCACGTAACTACTGTGAACCTCTGTGTCTTCATCTGCAAATGGAGACCGTGAATGTGTGGTCTCATGGAGCCCTAAGGAGTATTAAATGAATCGGTGTGTTCAAAGTGCTGAGCACAGGATCTGATGGGAGCGAGTGCTCAGGAGATGCTGTTGTTGCCATTGTCCCCAGATGCAGCAGGCCCAGTTGTCTCTCTCTTTCCACCTCACACACGGGCCAGGCAGAACTGACAGGCGCCAGGCCCAGGGGGTTCTGGTGAGTGCTCATTCTCCGCAGTAACCAAGCGCCCACAACAGAGCTGCGCCTACAGGTGCTGGTCAACACCTCCCCAGGGGGTTGAGGAACCGTCTCCCTCCGGTGGGAAGTTGGGGTTCCCAGAGACCCCCCTTGGCCGAGGGCCAGAGCAAAAGTTTACTCTCTCTCTCCCTGACGTGTACACTCAGTCATCTGTAGCTAATGATGCTTGTGAAGTCTTTGTGCTTTTGTGAAGTTATTTTCTAGATAATGAATTAAAGACTGTTTTCCAAAGTGGCTGCACCATTTTGCATTCCTTCCAGCAATGAATGAGAGTTCCTGCTGGTCTGCATCTTTCCCAGCATTTGGCGTTGTCAGTGTTTTAGATTTTAGTCATTCTACCGGGTGTATAGTGGTATCTCATGGTTAATTTGCAATCCTTAATAAGCATTTTTTCCTTAATAAGTGTTTCATTTTATTTTTCATAAAATAAGCTTATTTTATCTGTACTTCTTCTTTGGTGCGGTGTCTGCTAATTTTTAAATTGGGTTCTCTGTTTTCTTATTGTCTTTTGGGGTTTTTTTTAATAGCCAATTTATTTATTTATTTTTATTTATAATTTTTTAATTATGTTCAGTTAGCCACTGTATAGTATTTTGATGTAGTGTTCAATGACTCATTAGTTGCATATAACACCTAGTGTTCATCACAACAGGTGCCCTCCTTAATGCCCATCACCTGGCTACCCCATCCTCCCATCCCCTCCCTTCTGAAGCCCTCAGATTGTTTCCTGGAGGCCAGAGTCTCTCATGGTTCATCTTCCTCTCTGATTTCTCCCCCTTCAGTTTTCCCTCCCTTGCCCTATGGTCCTCTGTGCTATTCCTTATGTACCTCATATGAGTGAAACCATATGATAATTGTCTTTCTCTGCTTGACTTATTTCACTTAGCATAATCCCCTCCAGTTCCGTCCATGTCAATGCAAATGGTGGGTATTTATCCTTTCTGATGGCTGAATAATATTCCATTGTATATATGTACCACATCTTCTTTATCCATTCATCTGTTGAAGGACATCTCAGCTCCTTCCATAGTTTGGCTATTGTGGACATTGCTGCTATGAACACTGTGGGGCAGATGCCCCTTCTTTTCACTACATCTGTGTCTTTGGGGTAAATACCCAGTAGTGTAATTGCTGGGTAGTAGGGTAGTTCTATTTTTAACATCTTTTTTTTTAAATATTGTTATGTTAATCACCATACATTACATCATTAGTTTTAGATGTAGTGTTCCATGATTCATTGTTTGTGCTAAACACCCAGTGCTCCATGCAGAACGTGCCCTCTTTAATACCCATCACCAGGCTAACCCATCGTCCCACCCCCCTCCCTCTAGAACCCTCAGTTTGTTTTTCAGAGTCCATCGTCTCTCATGGTTCGTCTCCTCCTCCGATTTCCCTCCCTTCATTCTTCCCCTCCTGCTATCTTCTTCTTCTTCTTTTTTTTTTCTTAACATATATTGCATTATTTGTTTCAGAGATACAGATCTGAGATTCAACAGTCTTGGACAATTCACAGTGCTCACCATAGCACATACCCTCCCCAGTGTCTATAACCCAGCCACCCCATCCCTCCCACCCAACCCCCCACTCCAGCAACCCTCAGTTTGTTTCCTGCAGTTAAGAATTCCTCATATCAGTGAGATCATATGATACATGTCTTTCTCTGTTTCACTTATTTCACTCAACATAATACCCTCCAGTTCCATCCACGTCATTGCAAATGGCAAGATCTCATTCCTTTTGATGGCTGCATAATATTCCATTGTGTATATATACCACTTCTTCTTTATCCATTCATCTGTCGATGGACATCTTGGCTCTTTCTACAGTTTGGCTATTGTGGACATTGCTGCTATAAACATCGGGGTGCACGTCCCCCTTTGGATCCCTTCATTTGTATCTTTGGGGTAAATACCCAGTAGTGCAATTGCTGGATCATATGGTAGCTGTTTTTTCAACTTTTTGAGGAACCTCCCTACTGTTTTCGAGAGTGGCTGCACCAGCTTGCATTCCCACCAACAGTGTAGGAGGGTTCCCCTTTCTCCGCATCCCCGCCAACATCTGTCGTTTCCTGACTTGTTAATTTTGGCCATTCTGACTGGTGTGAGGTGGTAGCTCATTGAGGTTTTGATTTGGATTTCCCTGATGCCGAGCGATATTGAGCACTTTTTCATGTGTCTGTTGGCCATTTGGATGTCTTCTTTGGAAAAATGTCTGTTCATGTCTTCTGCCCATTTCTTGATTGGATTCTTTGTTCTTTGGATGTTGAGTTTGATGAGTTCTTTATAGATTTTGGATACTAGCCCTTTATCTGATATGTCATTTGCAAATATCTTCTCCCATTCTGCTGGTTGTCTTCTGGTTTTGTTGACTGTTTCCTTTGCTGTGCAAAAGCTTTTTATCTTGATGAAGTCCCAATAGTTCATTTTTGCCCTTGCTTCCCTTGCCTTTGGCGATGTTTCTAGGAAGAAGTTGCTGCGGCTGAGGTCAAAGAGGTTGCTGCCTGTGTTCTCCTTTAGGATTTTGATGGACTCCTGTGTCACATTGAGGTCTTTCAACCATTCGGAGTCTATTTTTGTGTGTGGTGTAAGGAAATGGTCCAGTTTCATTCTTCTGCATGTGGCTGTCCAATTTTCCCAACACCATTTGTTGAAGAGACTGTCTTTGTTCCATTGGACATTCTTTCCTGCTTTGTCAAAGATTAGTTGATCATAGAGTTGAGGGTCCATTTCTGGGCTCTCTATTCTGTTCCATTGATCTATGTGTCTGTTTTTGTGCCAGTACCATACTGTCTTGATGATGACAGCTTTGTAATAGAGCTGGAAGTCCGGAATTGTGATGCCGCCAGCTTGCTTTTCTTTTTCAACATTCCTCTGGCTATTCGGGGTCTTTTCTGGTTCCATACAAATTTTAGGATTATTTGTTCCATTTCTTTGAAAAAAGTGGATGGTATTTTGATGGGGATTGCATTGAATGTGTAGATTGCTCTAGGTAGCATTGACATCTTCACAATATTTGTTCTTCCAATCCATGAGCATGGAACATTTTTCCATTTCTTTGTGCCTTCCTCCATTTCTTTCATGAGTATTTTATAGTTTTCTGAGTACAGATCCTTTGCCTCTTTGGTTAGATTTATTCCTAGGTATCTTAAGGTTTTGGGTGCAATTGTAAATGGGATCGACTCCTTAATTTCTCTTTCTTCTGTCTTGTTGTTGGTGTATAGGAATGCCACTGACTTCTGTGCATTGATTTTATATCTTGCCACTTTATTGAATTCCTGTATGAGTTCTAGCAGTTTTGGGGTGGAGTCTTTGGGGTTTTCCACATAAAGTATCATATCATTTGCAAAGAGTGAGAGTTTGACTTCTTCTTTGCCAATTTGGATGCCTTTGGTTTCTTTTTGTTGTCTGATGGCTGTGGCTAGGACTTCTAATACTATATTGAATAGCAGTGGTGATAGTGGGCATCCCGGCCACGTTCCTGACCTTAGGGGGAAAGCTCTCAGTTTTTCCCCATTGAGAATGATATTCGCTGTAGGTTTTTCATAGATGACTTTTATAATATTGGGGTATGTACCCTCTATGCCTATACTCTGAAGAGTTTTGATCAAGAAAGGATGCTGTACTTTGTCAAATACTTTTTCTGCAGCCATTGAGGGGATCATATGATTCTTGTTCTTTCTTTTGTTAATGTATTGTATCACGTTGATTGATTTGCAGATGTTGAACCAACCTTGCAGCCCAGGGATCAATCCCACTTGGTCGTGGTGAATAATCCTTTTAATGTACTGTTGGATCCTATTGGCTAATATTTTGGTGAGAATTTTTGCATCCATGTTCATCAGGGATATTGCTCTGTAATTCTCCTTTTTGATGGGGTCTTTGTCTGGTTTTGGGATCAAGGTAATGGTGGCCTCATAAAATGAGTTTGGAAGTTTTCCTTCCATTTCTATTTTTTGGAACAGTTTCAGAAGAATAGGTATTAATTCTTCTTGAAATGTTTGGTAGAATTCCCCTGGGAAGCCATCTGCCCTAGGCTTTTGTTTTTTGGGAGATTTTTGATGACTGCTTCAATTTCCTTACTGGTTATAGGTCTGTTCCGGTTTTCTATTTCTTCCTGGTTCAGTTTTGGTAGTTGATACATCTCTAGGAATGCATCCATTTCTTCCAGGTTATCTAATTTGCTTGCATAGAGTTGCTGATAATATGTTCTTATAATTGTTTGTATTTCTTTGGTGTTGGTTGTGATCTCTCCTCTTTCATTCATGATTTTGTTGATTTGGGTCCTTTCTCTTTTCTTTTTGCTAAGTGTGGCCAGGGGTTTATCAATCTTGTTAATTCTTTCAAGAACCAGCTCCTAGTTTTGTTGATCTGTTCTACTATTCTTTTGGTTTCTATTTCATTGATTTCTGCTTTGATCTTTATTATTTCTCTTCTCTGCTGGGTTCAGGCTTTATTTGCTGTTCTTTCTCCAGCTCCTTTAGGTGTAGAGTTAGGTTGTGTACTTGAGACCTTTCTTGTTTTTTGAGAAAGACTTGTATTGCTATATACTTTCCTCTTAGGACTGCCTTTGCTGCATCCCAAAGATTTTGAATGGTTGTGTTTTCATTTTCATTGGTTTCCATGTATTTTTTTAATTCTTCTTTAATTTCCTGGTTGACCCATTCATTCTTCAGTAGGATGCTCTTTAGCCTCCATGTATTTGAGTTCTTTCCGAGTTTACTCTTGTGATAGAGTTCTAGTTTCAAAGCACTGTGGTCTGAAAATAGGCAGGGAATGATCCCAGTCTTTTGGTACCAGTTGAGACCTGATTTGTGACCTAGGATGTGATCTATTCTGGAGAATGTTCCAAGGGCACTAGAGAAGAATGTGTATTCCGTTGCTTTGGGATGGAATGTTCTGAATATGTCTGTGAAGTCCATTTGGTCCAGTGTGTCATTTAAAGTCTTTATTTCCTTGTTGATCTTTTACTTAGATGATCTGTCCATTTCAGTGAGGGGAGTGTTAAAGTCCCCCACTATTATTATATTGTTGTCAATGTGTTTCTTTGCTTTTGTTATTAATTGCCTTATATAATTGGCTGCTCCCATATTAGGGGCATAGAC